AACAAATGGCGTATGTACCAATCGTTGGTCACCGGCTACCATGGGACTGCATCTCCTTACGATGCTCCACTGCCTTGTGGGTTAGACCTTTAGGTCAAAGGCTCGGGCTGTGGCTCCCTAAGATAACCACCTGCTTCGGTCTGGGCACCCGGGCAGTATCGCAGCCCACACGCAATTAATGAACTCAACTGTCAATGATCATGGAAACTAATTCTCTTGCTTCGACGAACATTCAAATGATTCAATTATTACTATTGCTATTATTATTATTATTATTATTATTATTATTTACTACGTCATTATTCACAATCTTTTATTCCTACTCTGTCTATACTTATTTTTTTTCGACTTATACAGCAGCTCGTCTGTGGTGGAAATTCGACTGTATCTAAACGTTCTCGAGTCACTGTCCGGTTGAAAATTGTATATTACCACCGAATATGAGTACTGAAGCAGTTTTTCTGAAACCACGTGCAACATTCAAACTGGCTGCCTTCAACGTTCACACACTTATGCAGGTCGGACAACAGATAGGGCAAGCTATAACTTTAGAAAGTCTTAATATCGATGTCTGCTGTCTATCCGAGACCCGTATTCAAGACTCTGGTGAAGTACTACAAATTCGCTCTACATCTGTCACTTCAAAAAGCTTATTTAATGTGCGCTTATCCGGGGACCCTGTGGCATCTTCGTCTGGTCTTGCTGACGTTGGTGTCGCACTAAGCGCTAGAGCTGAGGCAGCACTAGTCGATTGGATCCCCATTAACAGTCGGTTTTGTGCTATTAGATTAGAAAGTTCCATCAAAGTGAGAAGAAATCGGCGTGAGAAACGATGTCTTTTCGTCATCTCCGCCTATGCCCCGACAGATTGCAGCCCGGATGCAATCAAGGATGAGTTTTACCACCAGTTATCTGTTCTTCTCCAGAAAGTGCGTTCGACAGATATTGTAGTACTAGCCGGAGACTTGAATGCTCAGGTCGGGCGTCTAGGCACAGAAGAGAGTCGTTTAGGTGGCCGATGGGGACTTGTTAGTCGCAGGACAGATAACGGGAACCGTCTACTGCAACTGTGCACAGACCACAACCTATTTCTGGCTAGCACTAACTTTCGGCACAGTCATCGCCGATGTGCCACCTGGCGTCCTCCCTCTGCATCTCAAGCCTGGACTCAGATTGATCACATCGCGGTCAGCTACCGCTGGTGTGGTTGTGTACAAGACTGCCGCTCCTTTTGGAGTACCTATCTGGACTCTGACCATGCCTTGGTCTGCGCCAATCTTGCCTTACTTTTCAGTGGACAACGAAGTGACCGCCATCAACGGATTGATATTAGCAAGCTGGTTGCAACTTCTGTTGCAAGTAAGTATCGAATCGAGCTAGCTTCTAGGCTAGCTACCACTCCACCGAAAAGTATAGATGAGCATTGGTTGTAATTGCATGACGCCATGAAAATGGCGGGTACAGTCAGTTGTGGGTTCGCGAAACGTCCCGCTTTTAAGCACTGGGTTTCTGCAGGCTCCTTACAACTCATTGAAGCCCGTCGGTCTACTCCGGGTGACCGTGAGTTTGACCATAAACGAAGGATGTTACGTAAGGAAATTGGGCAAAGCTTCCGTAAGGACCGAGAAGCCTGGTGATCGGAGCGTGCTAATGAGCTGGAAGCAGCAGCTGCATCTGGTAACTACCGGAAGCTCTTCCAACTCATCCGAGCCACTGGCAGCAAGAAGTCTGGTGTGAGTGAAACAATCTGCGAGGATGATGGGATGCCAATCACTAACATCCATCGACGTCTTGGACGATGGGCAGAATCTTTCGAAGGGCAGTTCAACTGGCCTGCTGCTCCGGCAACATCGGTCAGACTGTCCTGCCCTCCATGGCCGGTGACGACTGATCCACCAAACGAGGAGGAAGTCCGCAAGGAACTCCAACTCTTGAAGCGTTACAAATCACCTGGCCCAGATGCCTTACCTCCGGCTCTTTTTAAAGATGTTGGTGACTTTCTGACTAAGGAATTGACGACGTTTTTACAAATGTTTGGGAGTTAGAGAGTGTATCAACGCCATGGAATGAGTCGATAGTTGTCCCTATCTTTAAAAAGGGTTCACGTCGTTCCTGTAACAACTATCGGGGGATAAGTCTACTTCCGATTGCGTCCAAGCTATTGGCTTCCGTCATACTTCATAGGTTGTTCAAAACACAAGAAAGATTGACTTGCAAGGAGCAAGCTGGGTTTCGTTCTGGTCGAGGATGTATTGATCATATCTTCACCCTCCGCCAAATGTTAGAACACCGCCATACTTTTCAAAGGCCAACAATCGTAGTGTTTCTTGACATCAGAGCTGCCTTCGATTCGTTGGAAAGGACTGTTCTCTGGGATTGTCTATTGAAGAAGGGTGTGCCTGAGAAGTTTATTAACATCCTAAAAGCCCTACATAAAAACACCTCAGGCAGAGTGAGGGCATACAACCACCTCTCTCCATTGTTCCATTCGAGCAGTGGGGTTAGGGAGGGTTGCCCAATCTCACCATTCCTCTTCAACTTTGCCATCGATGACATTCTGGAAACAGCTCTGATGAATGTAAGTAATGGTGGTGTGGATCTGTTGCCTGGAGAAAGACTTCTCGACCTTGAGTATGCGGACGATATTGTCTTACTGTGTGATAATGCCCAAGGCATGCAATCCGCACTTAATCAGTTGGCAATCAGTGTCCGTAGGTATGGTATGTGCTTTGCACCTTCGGAGTGCAAAGTACTTCTACAAGACTGACAGGATCCTAATCCTGTACTCACCCTGGATGGTGAGCAGATAGAAGTAGTCGAGAAGTTCGTGTATCTGGGTAGCTGCATAAGTGCTGGTGGGGGTGTGAGTGATGAGATTAATGCACGTATAGTGAAAGCCAGAGCGGCTTATGCTAATCTGGACCACTATTGGCGCCTTCGTGATGTTAGTCTGGCTGTAAAAGGTCGAATCTACAACGCGTCGGTGAGAGCAGTTTTTCTCTATGCTTGTGAAACCTGACCTCTCCGAGTTGAGGACGTTAGAAGACTCTCTGTGTTTGATCATCGCTGTCTCCGAAGGATTTCTGACATCCAGTGGCAACACCATGTCAGTAATGCAGAGGTTCGGCATCGTGTGTTCGGGCACAGAGACGATAATGCAATTGGTGTCACCATCTTGAAACATCGACTTCGGTGGCTTGGACATGTTCTACGAATGTCGTTCCAGAGAATTCCACGTCGTGCATTATTTGCCGTCTCTGGGACTGGTGGGAAGAAGCGGAGAGGTGGTCAGTGCATGACATGGTGTCGCGGTATGAAAGAAAGCTGTGAAGAGCTGGCTTGTGTTGGTCCTTCACGACTCCCTGGTTGGGGTCCGAGAGATGGTACAACACAGTGGCTAGAGATGTTATCAGATATGGCTCAGAATAGAAGCCAGTGGCGATCATGCTGTAACCTTCTTTTACTTTATTCATAAAACGTGGTTGTATCTTCCTTAACTGAAAGATTTCTTTTGATTGTACCCTTCCGTTCCCCTACTATTACTATTATTATTACACTACCTTACACCAATCTCTTCGTTATTATTATTTTTTATATCTTCTTTTTACGCTCCACACTTTTTTCTTTTTCTCCTTCCTAAATTCTCATTGTTTTGTGTGGCGCATATATATTTGACGCACTCCTGTACCAATATATATGTGTTCAAATTAATAAATAAATAAATATCTTAGTACCTAAAGAAGAGCACGAGTGAATCCCCTATGATCTCTAACTATGCATGCTTTGGACCATGTGAAATAGGCAGTTAATAATCTTAAAATGTTGTGGCCCAGTTTTAGTGACATAAAAGAATGAATGATAATGTATATTCTGTGCTACGGTAAGTGGTCACTGAATTCAAGCATCAAAAATTTACAAAACATTTACTCTGATATGAAGATTGTGTTGGCTATTTTAGCTTAATGAAGGTGAACCTATAAACCATATTAAGAATCTGAGAAGGAATAGTATATATTTTAATGGATTTACCTGTTAAAGGGTTCAAAAATATCTCTGTACACTTCATTTTGCAGATGAAATTAAGACCGATCTCCCAAGTAAATCAATAATTTTCGAAAAAAAGGATATATTCTCATTTGTCATTCTAAACCTATTAGATAAAAAGTTATTGCAAGAAAAACGAATGATAACCATCGTAACTAAAATCTACTAAATATCGCTGAAAATCTAGTGTCAGACAGTACCTGTTGAGAAACGCAAGTAAGTATCTTGAAGCACAACTCGAAGCTTTTTTATTTTGAAACACCATTCTGTTAAATGGGCAAATTTTAGATATCCTCTTTGCGAAAGTTTTACTCATGGTAATTAATGTTTTGGAATACATTCGAAATGAAACCTAAGGTTTTCTTACAATATAGCTATCAAATTAAGTTAGTTACAATACACACCAGTTTTCTGACTTAACGTTTTCAAAGTTTAAGAACATCAGAAGTTCATCAAAGTTTTCACTTTAATAACCGCGTTTCTTTAATTTAGTCAACTAGGTGATAAACTTTTTATTAGTATAATAAAAATAATGCAACTCATAATACTTACTAAGTTATTGTTTTATTTACCATGAATAAATCTGCATTTGTCTATGGTTTTAATTAGGCTTGGGTTATGAAGAATTTACACTGAACAAAACTTAGATATGGCTTAAAACGTTTTAATACATCTGTGTAAAAAATAACTGGCTATGATGACGATAAAATGTTTGATTTCAGTAGATCGAAAACTATATTCTTGATCATTGTTTTGTCTATAACAAAAATGTCCCAAATATTTTTATGTACGTATCAAGGATAATTTTCAAAGGCATAACTTGAAGTTGATTGGAGAGGGTTGAAAGCGATTAAGTCATACGTCTGTTAGATGTTTTCGAAGTTCTAAACCAACTGGGAAAAACTCTCCATTTTCCATATTGTTTCAATGTGGAACTGTGTATCACATGGTGCGAATTATATAATCTGAGAAAAGGGGAAGAAAACGAATTATAAGAGAGTATAAAATCACTAAAGGTGAATTTCATTTACTGCTGTAAGACAGTTGATCTGAGTTTCTCAACATAATTAATTGTTCCAATTCTCAATATTTGCAATACATTTAATAACTGTTGAAATGTAACACAAAAGTTTCTTAAATATAGGGTAATCCATGTAGAAGAGTTTGTTTCTAAATCAGGATAAGGGCACAAACATTTTTAGATTTCCTAATTTAATTGTTACTCATCATTATTGAATTATATGAATATCGCAATTAACAATGTTGAATTTGAGGACAAACATTATACTTCAGACCATAAATGTAAAACCAGTTCCAAATCATTCTCTTCCAATCAAACCAAAACATTTTTACCCCTTGACAATGCGTTATAATGTCACTGTGAATCTGTTAGTAGTAATGACTGAATACCACCCTATTAGGAATAATATTTTCAATTATCACTGTTCAAGTGTTTCATTTTTCTCAAAATATTCTCATATTACTGAATTTCATAAATTCATTATCATTATCTAAATTTTAATTGACCCTAATAAATATGATAAATCTGAATCTGTCATGCAACTTAATTATAATCTCAAAGTTTCCGCACTTATATTTTTGGAAAGTCTATGTACCTCGAGTTTAACTTCTTCTTCATTCATGGGTTAATTTCATCATGGTTTGATAAGTAAAAAAGTCATATAAAGATGTATATTGTATTTATATACATTCATAATACCAAAAAGTAATCGAAATTAACTACATAGTCATTAGATTTTCACTAAGAAAGATGGACTTTGAGTGATTCGGCGATTTCAAAACACGATAGTGAACGAAATAATAAGTCAATAATTTGCCAAACACTTTTAACAAGTAAATTTAATTACGACGCATGAAATTTAAAAACTGTTGATAATCCATCCCAACATCTTTGTTAATTTTATTCCTATTCATCCACTCATTGAGTTCAGTTGTTTGTATATCATAGCCCATTTCACTCAATAAACTTACTACTTCAGAAACACATATTTTCCCAGAATGATCTTTATCCATGTCGTTAAATACGCTACGCCAAACAGCTGCCCTGTAAGGAAAAAAAATACTAAACTTCATGAACAATATAATGAGACAAAACCTAATACTTATTTGAATTCTCCTGTAACTTTCACACTTGCAATTCGTTTTGTATTATAAAACGAAGTAATTAATATTTAGAAGTAGGTTCACCACTGACAGGTAACAATTGAATAATCAGTTAGAATTAGGAACTATTAAACAGTTGTTCTGAAACTATGATGTCAGTCCATGATAATAACTGCTTTAAAATTAAATTAATGTTCACAAACTACTCAAACAGACGGTTTTTATTTAGTCTATTATAACTATCAGAAAAGTCAAGCATATACAGCCGATCATACTTGACTAACCTGAGATACACAAACTACATATTATGAACAATTTATGTGAAATCACAAAATAAAATCTCGTTCCCAATGTATATTTTAATGCCTAAGCCTCGATTCGACTAACGTTTAGTCAATGTTTATGTTATCGACAGGTATTATCACTTTGCTTATTGGTCTAATTATAATTTTTAATTCACATAAAAGTTTCTGACTTTCAAGAGTACAAAAAAAACACTAAAATATAATGAAAAAAATAAACATGGCACAAATAATATATCCCCTTGATACTAAGTACCTACTCCTTTTCTTCTTTCGGAACAATATTTAGTACTTTTTCATATTCTTCTAAAGTTATTTCACCATCTCCATCTAAATCGAATGTTTTGATAAATTCCTGTTGTGTATGTTGGTTTTTTTTCAAAAACAAAGAACGGAAACAAGGATGAAGTTGCTTTAATAAAAGTTGGGTTAACTCAAAATATCCATAAAAATGACATTAGTCTCAATATATTTGTTAAGGTTTGTATTATCACTTCATTGATATTCAGGACCAAATTTTAATAATTCTTCAGTTCATATATTATAAACGTTCTTAAACAATAATGATAATGATAATAATAACAGTTTTATTCAAATTATATGTTCAGTTCAAGTATAAATTTTCAGGATATCGTGCTTAATCATAGAAAGTTTTGAATAATGGCGAAAGATTTATCCGCAACTGATGAGATACCAGAGTTATCAAAGCAATCCACACAGGGTGAACGTATATCAAAGAACTGATGAAAATTCAGTCCTGAACGTCAATAAAAATATAACACAAAACCTTATGAAAAAATGTAAACACCATTCTGTCGAACACATTAAAGCTACTTAAACTCAGTGACCTATTGGACAATGAATTGGACTTTGAAGTAGTAAATTCGAGTTTGAGCATGGAAGTCAACAGTAGTATCCTAATACATCCAACATACCAGCCCCAAACAGGACAAAACGAGCGTTGTAGGTTCCACTGATAGATATAGTATATATACTCGCCTATATTTTCGTGGAATTATCTATCACGTTATTTATCTTCAATGACTGATGTTTTAACTCGACACTGAATCAGTAGTTTCATGTTACAAGAGAACATCTAACTAGTACCATTGAGTTACTTCCTTTCAGTATAGATCTAGAATGCAAGGTTTAACTGATAACAATACTCAAATTTTATTTGAACGAGTGTGTACTGCTTCAATTAAACGGACTCATTGACCTTAGTTTTAGGTTTAGTGTTAACCTACAATATGTGATTAGATATCATAGGGGAGATTTCACCGCCATTTTCCACATTAGGAATTTCCAGAATGATTACGATTAGTGGTGATATTATATAATTTACTGTGACGTATAGTTTAGTCTCATCAAGCCTCACAACTCAGAATGTGGTTACATCATAAACAGCAATGATTTTTAACTCGGTAACTGTTAGTAAACATTTTGGTTCATAGGTCAAATACTCGAAAATAAGGTGATTACTTTGAGATACACAAGACTGGAAAGATAACATACCTGTCTTAAAAGACTGCAAACTGTCATCCGGAAGATCTGAAACTATTCTATGTATTTTGATGCTTATTAGAAAGGTATGCTCATAAGCTTGGGATAGTTGATATTTTAACAGAAAATGGAACCTGAATTACTTGCTTTCCCAGCTAAAGAGACGAAAAGATTGAACTCTTTCGGAATTTGGCTGACCTTATGTAGGACCGACAGGTGGAGTTTTATCGATCAATGAGTGGTAACCTATATCGTACCTAGTCAGGGTTATCCCGAAATCAAAAGACTGCGGGTTAATTTAGTCAGGAAACCAACACGCTATAACCGTGACTTGTACTACTGTTTGAATTTCAGTTTTCCTCGAATGACTGTTTGTATTATTTTGATGAGTTTAAACAAAGTATAACATCCAGTTTAAATTTTCAGAACTTTATTTATAAATTCCTTTCAGACCCGATTGCCGGTTATGTTTGTAAGGGCGTAAAGAAAGTAAACCCTCTGAATAAACTTTTCTTATAACTTATGAATCTTTGAATATTGCATGTATACCAATCTATCTTGTTAGACAGAATCAACATTTATATCAATAAATTTTTTTGGAGTACTAAAGCATCATTTCGGTTACTTTGTTGCTCTGAATGATATTTCACAAATAATGTACTTAGTTAAGAAAATCACCTCGACTTTATAAACTCCATATTCTCAGCATACATTAATGCACGTTTTCTTATTGCGTAAATTCTTATAAATTCAACTAGTATCTAGTTCAAATGTTCTTAAACTAAATATAATGGAAATAATTGATTTGTTAAGAACTTGTACAGCACATGTGATGACTTATTATTTCATTTGATATGCGCTGATTGATTATATGTTAACTCAAGGATGGTGCGGACAAATAGAGTCTTTAGTAAATGTCTGGTATACCTAACTAGTCTTACTTTGAATATTTCATGGTCACCTTTTCTGAATGCAGAGTTACCAGGAACAGATAATGGTCATAGGGACCAATAAACATACAGTTTCAAGCAATGACTTACTTTTGGCTAACTGTATATTTTAAACTGATAAAATTCAGATAAAGCCTTCTTATGGAAACTTTGTATGCATTTATCTAGCATTCAGAAAAGAAGAAAAGCACTTAAAATAGAAGTATTTTAGTTTGTTGACATAAAAAGTCTATTTTATTTACAAATTCCAGACAGCAACAATTAACACAGTACTTTTCGATATAAGAGTCCAACACTGACTTATTTCTCCAAAGAAAAAAATCATTATTGAGGTGAATATATATCAAAAATTTAATTCATCTTATGTATATAAAACATGTGAAAGAGTTGACACTGAAATGAAATAACTTACCGTAAGAAAGGCTTCATTAAATCCACTTAACTTCATACAATGTCTTATTTCTCTTTTTGACAGAGTCCCATTTCCATCTTTATCCATTTGACGAAATTGATCGAGTAAAATTTTTTCATCCATCTTAAAACGTTTTGAATATCAGTCACAGTTTCTGAATAAAAATTTGTTGTTACGTATTTTAATCAAATGCGACTGCCCAGTCAATTTTTATCCAGTTTTTCTTTGTTATGTAACTAATTATATCCAACCACGCTGTTGCATGTTTTATGTGACCTTGTGTCGATGATCTTATTGGTGGATGAACAGTTCAAATATTCGTTTGCCAGAAAAGTAAAAAATTTATGCACACACTACAACATCAAATCGCCTTTAATTCATAAATTCCTAGCTTTCGCACTGTGTTCATTTGTCTTTCTATAAGTAAAAACTTGTTTTTATTCAGCGGCGCCAGATTTTTATTATTGAAGTTTGATGTATATGTATATATATAGGTAGAATTTCGATAAAATTTATTGTATTCAAGCTATCTTCAAACGTTCTGCATTAGAAATAAAGAGTAAGGATGAGTTTATGAAATTCCAGAAAACATTTTGAGAGTCACTGATAATAATTCATCTAAAAATGTTGACATTCGACTTCATGTTTTCCGGTTTCTATGAAACTGTGATAATAACTGGCTTTATTGCTGTGAATTCCTTTATAAAGCATATCATTTCTATTCAAGCAGATATTATACTCTTTAAAAGTATTACATCTCAAGGTAAAAAAGAAGAGAAAATGACTATTTTGTCATTACTTCTGTCTGTTCGGGTGACTTTTATGACAAGTATTATTTAACGACTGATTAGAAAGAGATACTTATGTTTTCTTTTCGGTGATATTAATTTCTGGATGGAGGTTCGTGGAGATTGTTGTATTTTAATAGTTGAATTCATAAGTCAATGTAATCTAGACCACTATTAAAAATCTGGAATCACTACACAGCTGTTTCGATCTAGTATGGGACTCCTCAACAGTGCTCGTCCACGAGTCCGCACACGGTAGTCGAACCCAAGACCTTCGGTCTAGCGTGCGAACGCCTTACCTCTAGACCACTGATCCGGAATTCAACGGTGTTAATTTCTAACTTCAATTGATCATGGGTACGCACTGTTGAGGAGTCCCATACTGAGACTAAATGGCCGTTCAGTGTTTCCAAGTTTTCAACAGTTGTCTAGCTTAAATCGACTCATGATTTCCATAAAATCCAACAATCTCCACTACCCCAAACTGAAAGGTGATTCAGTAAACGAAATTATTCTTGGTACATGATATATACCTGTGTAACAATAAATTAATGAAACAGTTCGATTATATTGGGTTCGAGCTAAGAAATTATCTTGATTCCGATTAGAACGAAGTACATTATGAATCAACTGTGGTGGGTTTTTTTATCACACTGATGTTCAAATCCAAGTTTATTGATTATAAACAAGAAAACTGGTTAGTGTAGGTAGCAGCTTGATTTCCTCTATCAACTACACTACAATTGTGTTTTTAACTTCATGACTCACAAATAAAATATCCTTATTGATAATGTTCATTCAGTAATCTACCATCACTAGGTCCAATGTTCTAACCACTTAACTTAAATTTAGATCTATAGTACACTTATAAAACATTTTATTCTGATGGTCTTGTAATCATTTGTCCTAACTAGTTAAACTGCACTTGATTTAGCTTATAAAATATTATTGATAACAAGAACTGACTTCAGTTAGACAACCACTGAAAACTTGTAGGCACTGGACACCTCTCCCATCCTAGTATGTTACTCTACAGTAGTACATATCCATGACACCATAGGGGATCAACCCATAGCCCTAGGTCTTGAGAGCTAAAGCCAAATATCTAGATCTCTCGCGAAGCATCCAATGGTGCCCATATATAACATTGATCATTTCGCGAGATGGTGCGCGAGCACGCCACAGTGAACAAACACCTTTTTGTCCGGAAATATCATTGACGATGTATGATCTATAGTGGCTTTCACTAGTAAATTAATACAGTACTCTCAGTAATGCTTTTACAATTTATTCGCTTAATTTTAGTATCACAGTCGTTTAGAACTTTTTCTGTTCATATGACTGAATGTAATTGTTCCTAGACATCTACATCTTGAATAAATTTTCCCCCAATGCTGCCAATGACAATTAATATTGATACGTTTAATTAATAGACAGTAAACGCTCAATGTTTTTACACCCATATAAAGAAACTTGATATTTTTATTTTTCAATATCAACTGCCCAGCAGTTTACAAAATACAAAAGCATGCCTGCACTCAGGTAAAAACGTTTTATGAGAATGACATACGAGGCACTGGTTAGTCTGTTATGGCTGTTTGTAAACAATTAAATCATATTTATGATATCCATTGGAAAAAGAGCATTGATTAAAATGGTTTGAAGCGATAATTCATTTACTTAAGAGATCGGGTATTTATTAGTATTTTCTGTGTCATATTAAACCCAAAAACATAAAATAATAAAGTGTAATTAATGTGAACATGTAAAATTCTTTGTTTTTGCATCACAAGCTTGTATCAGCCATAGGACTTTTATGAACCAAGTCTGCATATTAAGCTATTTAAGCCGATTCGGTTTATGCCTACTCGATATTCTACACTCACTATCTCACACATAAACAACCCTCTTAAACCCGAATTCGGCTGCAAAATAGCAACTGAATCAGTTTTCACTAATGGACATTTTCATCGAACACTATCTCAGTAGCTACATGATTTTATTCCAGTTTCAACCCAATATTTGATCTGGGTATGCATTGTTGACTTCCAAAACTATAACAAAACAGCTCTACAATTTATCGTAGCTTACAATGGTCCTCCTGCTTATATCTGCACTATGAACTGTCTTCGAACTGGACAAATTTCTATGAACAACCCAAATGGAAACTAATACATTTTTCTCAAATATGATTACATAAAACGACGCACTAATAAAGTAACCAGAGATGCAAAAAACACAAATTTGCATAAAACATATTTGACGTTATAGATTTATTCCCTCAGAGAACAGAAACTAAAAATAATTATTTCCATATAATCCAGTTCCATTTTCATTCCAAACGATCAATAAGCAACTTACACAATATCGACACTCCTTCAGCAAACCTAATCGACAGTAAGCTATTATATCAACTGTTCTGTTTAGAATATCCCTCAAGATATAAATAAGTTTTGAATATTAATTAATGATCTGTGTTCGAGAAATGGGTAATAATAAAGGAATCAGAGAACCATTCTGCTAAGTACAAAAGTAGTTAGAGAAACAAGTAGATTGTTAATGGTTTCCCTCCGAAAATCTCTAGCTATAGAATTTATAAGCTCTAGAAAAACTAGTAGTTTTTTATTACCATGCTTGTTGTAGATATATACCTTGCTGACAAGGACACAGGGTACAGAAAGGTGCTAAAATAAATAAAACATAATAGAATAAATTAAGTTGTACTTTTTCACGCCTCTATTTTAACCGAATAAAATTTTTTACATCCTTTCGTTCATTTTATCGTTTTGCTATATGAAGTTCAAACGAAATATGTATGCGATCAACGTTGATTTCCGTTAGATTGTAGTGACTCACATTTATCACGAGAACACGACTGGTTTAATAAAAACAATTATTATTATAACCAACTGTACCAGTGTTTGTTTTAATGTGCTTTTGTTTGACTGTGCTAATGACAGCTATTTTGTTCTTCCATTCTTTTACACACACTTTGATTGTAACTTCGCGCGAATTCGGTTACGTTCTGTAACCAAGCTTGTATCCTGGCACGATCTCGGTATCCTTTCGATGCCACGAGATCGCCAGCAAATAAACCTCGACTTGGTCCATTAATTGCCTTCTGGTATTCGGCTTCTCGGGGATTTTATGGAGTCATTTGGAACGAGCTTCTTACGCCTTCTGATCTAATTGGCACGTGTTTCTTGGTAGCGGTGTTCATAGTTAATCTCAACTCGACGCCACGCTACAATAGGTAATCCCAATTCGATTACAATTGGTGACCCGTATTTTGGAACACGCCTCAACTTCTGACCAAATCTTCCAAAGAAGCCAATTCGGTGAGTCTATGATTTATCTATCCACGTCTGTCGTATATTTTCATATTTTTTAATATATAATATACGCGACATGACGGATAACGATAAGAATAGTATTAATATAATAGACTCACACGTATGTGTACCGAATCCTTGTCACTTTTTATTCGCGTGATGATGAATTCCACGCTCTATTCGAGAAATGTTACCCTATTAACGATTCTCCTCGCTGACCCGGCTGCTTGGTACGGAATGCATACGCATAAGCATATCCGTCTACCACCCAGCACCAAATGGTTAAGTTGAACGGTTTCACTGCCAACTTAAAAGTGTTCTACGAGCACACGAAAACGGCAACTGTCACGAAACCTTACCGCTCGTTCTTTTAGGGGGAGAACGAGCTTAAAGGCAGATATCCAATGTCCCGCCACTGAACTTGTATACGGCACGACATTGCGTCTGCCCGGAGAATCCTTCACACCACGGAGCAGACCTAATTTCGGTAAATCAGACAACGTCCGTCGACTGTCTGCATTTATGTGAACGCTGTCTCCGGTGTCAACTCGAATACAACATCGACAGGTCGCTCTCCCTCGAGAGTTATCTACCTGTTCACATGTTTTTGTACGAGTAGATTCGGTACGCAAACCTTGGCAACAACCTTACGAAGGCCCTTTTCACGTGATCGCTCGTCACGAAAAGACCTTCAGGGTTGATCGACATGGACGCGTCGAGATCGTCAGCGTTGATCGTCTCAAACCAGCACACGTCGATGACAGTGCCCTATCTGGTAACCTGAGATTCAATGCTAGACCTATTAAACCTAGCGGGATCCTTAAATCTTCAGGTCCCACGCTAGATGCATCTGAGACCTCATTCTCACGTCCCGGTCAACAGCACGCGTCATCTGCACCGTCTACGGACGAGACGATAGTCTCACGTCCAGATCAGCAGACCACGCCGCCTCTGACCTCGGATGAGATTGCAGGCTCACGCGACGCGAACGAGACTGCCGTCT